TAATGGAAATCCTCGACCCTTTCGATGCTCTCGCCATGGCGATCTACGATGAGTTCGGTGCACTCTTCGGAGCTTAGGAACTTGGTCTTCTTTACGTTCAGCCGGAGTCCATTCTCAGCGAGCACATCCTGCCACCGCTGCACCTTGTCCTGGAGTTCTTCCCTGCTGTCCGCTATCAGGGTGTCGTCAGCGTAGAGGATGGTTTTCAGTGGTCCCTCCATGAGTTCTTTTGCCATGACATCCAGAGTCAGGAGGAAGAGGAACGGGCTGAGGGCTGATCCTTGGTGTACCCCAACCGTAATGTTTACCTCCTTTGTCAAGCCGTGAGGGGTGCGTACAGCTGCTTTAGCCCCATCGTACATGTCCTTCACTATGGAGATGAGGTGTTCCGGAACGTTACGTTCTCTGAGCGCTCTCCAGAGTACAGGCCGAGGCAGGCGGTCGAATGCCTTCTCAAGGTCCAAGGCTAGGTAGCAGGGTCGCCGCTTCTCTCGGTACTTCTCCATCAGCTGTCTGGCGATGAAGATGGCATCGGTGGTGGACCTCTCGGGCATGAAGCCGAACTGTTCCTGCGAGATAGGGACAAGTTCCCTCAGCCTAGTGTTGACCAGGCGCTCGTACAGCTTCATGGTATGGGGAGTCAACTTGATGCCGCGGTAGTTGGAGCACTCCGTCGCGTCCCCTTTCTGTTTGAAGATGGGGACGATTGTGCTGCTCCTCCACGCATCTGGCATCCTTCCTTCAGCCGTTACGTTGTTTAGGAAGTGTGTGAGCCAACTCACCCCATGCTCTCCAAGGGCCTTCCATGCCTCTATCGGTACCCCGTCTGGACCCACTGCTTTCCCAACTTTCATTCTCCCTAGCTCGGACTTCATCCTTCGTCCAGGGAGTGATGGGACCTGCCGTCGCCTCTATCTGTGGGCTATCCTTGCGGGGAATTCTTCAGAAGTCCCTCGAAGTATTCTTCCCACCTCTTCCTGACTTCGGCTGGTTTCCTGAGAATGGCCCCGTTGCTGCTCTTCACAGTCTTTACGACCCTGATGTCCTGAGCAGCGCGATGCCGAGCTTTAGCCAGGCGGAAGACGAACTTGTCCCCTTCTCGGCCTTCCAGCTTGTCGTACAGGGCGTCCATTTCCGTATTCTTGGCCTTAGCAACGGCCGCCTTAGCGAGTCGCTTGCAGCTCTTGTAGGCAGCGTAGTCTTCTGGGCTCCGTGTCTTTTGCCAGCGTTTGTATGCTTCCTTCTTCTGCTTGACGATCCTCTGGACTTCCTCGTTCCAGAACCAGGCTGCCTTGTCTCCTCTGATACCACCTCGCGTCTCTCCCAGGACCTCCCTTGCACACTGTAGGATGACCTCTGCTGCGTAGGTCCAGGTGTCCTGGACTGGCCCATGTGGGTCTGGGAGCCCAGCCTCCAGTATTCTTCGGCCGAGGCTATCCTTTTCTACCTTGCCCATTTTCCACCACCGAATTCTCCGCTCTGCTCTCACCCTCGTCTTCTTGGGGAGGTCTATGGCGATGTCTGCCAGGAGAGGCCTGTGCTGAGGGCCCAGCTCTTCCCCAGGCAGTACCTTGATATCCTTGACGGTTTTGAGAGACGATCTTCTGACCAGGACATGGTCGATTTCCGTTTGTCTCCCTCCACTGCTGTAGGTTACCTTTTGGGTCCTCCTTTTCGCGAAGAAGGTGCTGCAGATTGCTAAGTCGTGGGCTGTGGCTAGGTCAAGGATCCGTTCTCCCTCAGCGTTCTTTGTCCCTATTCCTTGACCTCCGTGCACCCTTTCTAGACCCCTTCTGTCCCTCCCAACATGGCCATTCAGATCCCCAGCTATGGTGAGGTAGTCCTCTTCCGGAACCGATCTTATGGCCTCGTCCAGGGTCAGGTAGAACTCATCCTTTTCCGCCTCGGAGCAACCGGATTGTGGTGCGTACACGGTCAGTACTGTCCAGTACCCCTCCTTCGTGTCCATTCTCACTCCCATGATCCGGTCACTGATCCTGTTCACAGTGGAGACGCAGTCCTTGAGGGATTCTGCCACCGCTATGGCCACGCCATTCCGTTTGGTGTCTGCTCCATTGTAGAAGAGTTTGACACCTTCTCCAATCTCGCGCGCCTTCGCACCCTTCCATCGCGTTTCCTGAAGGCATAGAACACCCCGCAACCTCACGAGACTTTCCGGTAAGCACCCCACGTTCAGGGTCCCAATTCGAACTAGCCACCCCTCGGTAGCCCTCGCATACTGACCACAGAACTCGGGCGAGGGTTCTGCGCGCCACTTCCGGGTGACGTCCTAGCTTTAACACTGATACTTTTGTCATGATTGTTGTGACGGGTTCCTCCATCAGCCGGCCTGTCAACCTGGGCCTGACGCTGGTATCGTCCCCATTTTTGCAATTTTTGCAAGGCAGGTTTGTGCCTCGGCAGGGATCGAACTCGTGGCTCAGAGTGAGATTATGAGTCTACACTCTTAACCACTCGGCTATCCCTGCCTAACAACCTGAACTATATACTATACATATATACTCACGTGGACGACCTGTTTGTATAGAAAAGTAATGTTGCCGGTTTCTCACGAGTGGGTGACGCGTTCTGAAATACTTGACGTATTGTTTCTCTCTACAACATATAATGCGATGCGAACACTGAGCAAATTAAAGGTCTCGAGTTGGGATTTCGGAACGTCCGAAACACAGTCCATACTGGTCTATGGGCGTGGCCAGGCCTACCACTGTTCATTACTCATTGGTGCGCCATAATTCTTTACTGTATGAGAGCAGGAACGTACCAAAGAGGAAGGTACAGTGAGGTGCTTGACTCCACCTAGGCAACCAGAGTGGATTATATTACTAACCCGCCATTTATGGAGATACCGGTCAATAAGCAACTTTACATGGAATTTGATCAATGGCATCGAAGGATGGTGCAAATTCATGTATAACACCTGTGTAGAAGGCGCACTGGTACTTTCCGTGGCGATAGGGGACGCTGTTGTACTGCTGCTGAAGTTTGTCGTCGTCCTTGCTCTCGTCGTGTTCATAGCTTTCTTTCGAGAGAAATAAGACCTGAAAAACCAATCACCGTGAGCATTCTTTTATGAAACCCACTGCATCGATCGTTTTCTGAACAATCAAAGGAAGCACTTCCTTTTGAACGAAACTTCTGAACAATAACTCAAGACATTTAAGAAGATCCCACTCTAGTGCTGAAGTACTCCTTGTCGATGAATCCGTTGATGTTCTTGTCGAGGAAGAAGTGTGCAGCAACAATGTTGTTTTAGGTTTTGGGATTTTTCTGCTGGAAGTCACCGCTGAAGATGTCCGAGACGTAGGTGAAGTTTCCAAAAGCCCATTTGATGCCACTGATTCGCTGGAAATAGAGGAAATGATAAGAAAACGCTGAAAAATGCTGTGAGTACAGTGTCGCTCGCTGCGGATCCCGGGGCTTCAGGGGGCTGGGTTTGGCCCCGAGCCAGCACGTTCTCCACCAGTTGTTGAAGCGAGCAAGCGACAACAATTTCGAAAAGCAACCAACGTAGCGAACAAGGCTGTACCCTGATGGAAAAATGGGAGCCAGGAGCAACCTGAATGGCCAAGTTAGAGGACAAGTCCTAGAGGCACAGTCTCTAATAAACAAGAGAAAACTTGGTGGGCAAAGAGGTTAAGAAACACACGGCCACCATGCGCTGACTGACTTACTCGCTAAGAAGAGAATAGATGGAACTTCCCAAAAAAGGCCCGAATAAGACTTTTTTTTCAAACAGGAAGGCCACATTGCATGGGATTTCGCGGGAGATAGCAGACAAGCGTACCGAAAAGAGCATGCAAGGGAGCGAAATGACAGACGCTGAAGTGGGGTGGGGTCTCTTCCGCGTTGAAGGAGCTACTGGAGATGCTCTATGTCTCACGTACTGCTTTACAAGTCCTTTCACGTTAAGAAGAGAGGTCAGCAGTCAATAAAGCCAAGTCCCCTTTGGCAAGGGAGAGGAGGTGCGAAATGATTTCAATTACCCTAATCATAACCTGATCACCCTACTAATTACTATGAATTGCCTTAAATCTTTAGCTAAGCGAATTTTTTCATTCTTGCGCGTAGCGTCCACTACACTACCTGCTGACTCCCGTGAGTAGAGCTCATTCAATCCCCCCCCCCTCTCCCCTTCCCCCTCCTCCACTAGCCACTTCTTGCCGTAGACAAGCCTACATCTACACTGTACAACATTATGCTGTATAATATCTATTACACTAGTTTTTCACAATTTCCTCGTTTTTTAGAGACCCATATTATCGATGTAGACCTTCATCTACGACTTCGTATCCTTTCCCTTCCACCCTTTGAAGAAAAAGGGGAGCAACAAGGGTTGGTTTGACTCATGTCAGCCTCTTCGTGTGAGGCTGCAGTAGCTCAGAGCAGTCTCATCAAATTTCCCAGGCAAATAAGCCGAAACGCAGAAACGTGATAAAATCACGTAATAATGCAACCAATTATTTAAGTTCAGTTTTGCGCAGGTCGATAAACTACTGATCTGGTGGATCGATATATCGATCGTGTACTGTATATTAAGCTGTGCAGAAGCCACCGGGAATAATGGGGCAGAGGAAACCATTTGCATATTCGAAGTGTTGCGATTCTGAAAAGTTGCATCTAAAAAATTTGTAGTTTTTGCAAAACCTAATCGTTTTCCCAACAAACTTTGACATTCAGAAAAAGTACTCAAACAAGAACCTCTGAAATTCTCTAGACAGTGTTGTCTCAGATGCTGTCTCAGAAGTCTCCGTCACAGAAACACTGGGATCAGAAGGCTCAGCCGTTGTAGTGGTCACTTCTATGTTGTCTACTTCTCCAGAGCTCTATAAAATGAGAATTTTGTTGAGCAAGAATGATTCAAAATATTGTGAAAAAAAGGGGGGGTTTCACCCCAACTACAGCCCACGCTCACCGTACATAGAGAACATCAGGCCTTCCTTCCTGAGTTCCTCGTTGGCCCTGTCCCTCTTTCCATTGTCGGAAAGGATGGGGCTTCAATGTGGAAAGTACAATGGTGGGCCCACTTCCGCTTAGAACCAGGCGTAGACGAACGTACATTAGCCTACGCCTCTCTTGGTCTGGACCTATACTTGTGTCGTAACCACGCCCCCTGCTGCCCTAGTTATGGACTGCACATCATATGCAAGCCCCTACTATGTAGGCTTCTGCTAGGATTCTCACGAAAAACGAGTTCACTATCATTACTAGAATCTGTGTGCTAGTATTAGGTTGTCCGGAAAGTTCTCAGCGTTTTGAGTGTTTCACTTTAAACGATCATAACTTTCTTAATACTCATCGGATTTAATCGAAATAGGCACCGTTCGAATCAGCACACTTTTGCCAATGTCGATAAATCCCATCAAAGAAAAAACTGGGTGGTAGAGAATCCACGAAGTCCATGTAGGCCTTTTTTGCCTGGTCCTTGATTTTTGATGAAGTTTTCCGAAGAAGAAAATAAGCTTATGATTTTTTTGATGAAGTATTTTCCAGCAAGGAAGTTCTGAAAATGTTTGAAAAGGTGATAGTCGGTTGGTGAAAGGTCTGGAGAATATGGTGGGTGAGGTAGAACTTCAACCCCCAATTCGTTCAATTTATGGATAGTGATTTGTGAAACGTGTGGGCGGGCGTTGTCATGCAAAGAATCGGACCTTTCTGTTGACAAGTGCTGGCTGCAGCTGACGCAATTTTCGGTACATTTCGTCGATTTCTTCACAGTAGGACTCTGCTGTGATGGTTTGGCCTGGTGACAAAAAGTTATAGTGGATCACACCAGCCGATGACCACCACACTGTGACCATAACTTTTTTTGGTGAAGATTCGGCTTTGGAAATTGCCTCGGTGGTTCGTCGGCATCCAACCACTGTCCGGAACGTCTCCTGTTATCATACATGATCCACTTTTCATCACAGGTGACAATTCGGTCCAAAAACGGGTCGTTTCTGTTGCGCAAAAGCAGTGAAGAAGAAACCTCGAGACGTGCCAATTTCTGCCGGTCACTCAAATTGTGGGGCACCCAATTGTCGAGTTTTTTCACCTTCCCAATGCGTTTCCAGACCATCTGCAACAGTGGATTTGCCAACGCCTAGCTTTTCTGCAATCTCTCGAACTGTTTGGGATGGGTCAGCCTCCACAAACGCCTTCAAATCCTCGTCAGGTATTGCTTTAGGTCGACCGCTACGAGGTTCATCTTCAAGGCTGAAATCTCCAGAACGAAATTTGTCGAACCATTGCCGCACAGTGCTTTCTCTAGCACTATTGGGCCCCCACACCTGGTTAATTTGTTGAGCTGTCTCGATTGCGGATTGCCCCAATTTATAGTCGAAGAAAAAAATCGTCCGAAGTTGCTCTTTTGACATGCTTCAAAAAGTCTTGGGAAAAGGGGGTTTATCAAGCAATGGTGAAACGGCAATTATACCATCAGATAGCGCAAAAAATTCTCTTCAGGATGTACTACTGAGACGCAAGGGAGAATGAGTTTTTAATCAGCAATGAATGTACAAAAAATAGTAACACAAAACGCTGAGAACTTTCCGGACAACCTAATATGTTCTTTGACAAAAATAACAATACGTAGAACAGAAAACTCACAATGGTTGGATTCTGTATTACGAAAGCGCCTGAAGGTTCTATTAGAGCGGAGGTTGAATTGTCGTTGTCCTCGGACTCATTTCGTGGAGGATCGGTATTGTTCGGACTTCTGAAACAAAACACGTTATGTAAGTACACCTTTACAAGTAAACAGAAGCTTGTCGCGATTCACGACCATTCGCTTGTCACCGTTACTCCTTCCATCGCCCCCCCCCCCTAGTTCGTCTTATGAATGATTTCCAGTCGATGTCCAAAAGTCTGAAAGCTCGGTGCTCGTTGTCTTTGTATTCACTGCAACTGCAGGCACATTTCGCGCTTAGAGAAAAATCCAAGTTCTGTGTGGGTGGGGAAGGGTAGTGTGGGCCGTCTTATGGGAGTTCCGCTCCAGGATATTGTCAAGTAGAATGGTTAATGGCACGGTCCGCGATGAGGTATGGAAGTTGCAAGTATGGCTTCGGGAAGGTGTGTGGTCCGCCGCAAACAACCTTGCGACGGTTTCGCGGCAAACAATAAGGGAGAGGCTCAGTGACGCCTCCTTTTTTCCAGTGACTCCGCCTCCAGACTCCGCCTTCGAAGCTCACCTTTCAGTGAAAAACGAAGCTGCAGGACGAAAAAGCATGAAAATCGTCGTTTGTACGGTTGCACGGTTCTTAACGGAGAAACAGCTGTGCGGACGAGGACATAGTGTGGAGGGTGGATATAAATGGACACGTACAAACTGGGACCAGGATGGGGTTCTATCTAGGGCAGTTGGCATGTTTTTTCTGCTTTTTTTCTTCACTATCGAGTTACTCAGAACCTTGCCGTTTATTGCGAACCCCTAATCCACTACCTGTGATGGCGAATGATCGCGAGTCCTGCCTTTGAGGCACAAGATCGAGCTGGAGACTCCTCTGAGGGGAAGGATCCGCTCGTGTCGGTTTCTCGAGTCTCCATCATTTGGTCGGAATCAACTGTTACGAGCAGGTTCCCTACTGGGGCGTTTTCAACGGTCTTCTCCGCTTTTTTTACCAGAGCATAAGTTAAGTGGTACAAGCGCTTCGATTTTGTAACCCGCTTCCTACGAATACGATAGCGAAACGTGCTTTCAAAGGCCTGATTTGCGTTGGTGGCCCGAAAGGAATCACATCCGCCATGGGGCTTTCCTCTTATCGCTATTCCTGGTCAGCATCCTATAACTAAGAGGTGAACAGTGAAGGACTGGGAGGTGGAATGATCCCATTCAAATAACTAGCCTGAACACCACCCTCATGAACTGAGCGCTGCTCAACTATGTGGAATCCTTCAACACATCAATTTGTATCTATTGTGTGAATTTCAGCCGAAGGGTAAGACTCTGAATATACCTATAAGATATTCCCATCAGGAAATGGCGAGGTGTTGTCTGCACTTTCGGCTCTTCCATCTCTTCATTGATTACAGCGGTCAGATAGAATCCTGAAGGGTCTAATCAAGGGAAGCCTCAATTAATGTACTTAGCTAAACGGCTAACCGTCTCCGAATCTTTGAGGGACCACTGCAAAAATACTCACTTTCTTGTAACTGTTCTATATTTGTGTACTGATTATTGTGTACAGTAATCCATTCACTGACCACCTTCACTTGAAGTTCATAACGATTATTGATTGTTCCTGTTGTAAAAAAGTTAAATGATTATGATTCAAGCTAATTAGAGTATTCATGCCCCGTTATATACCTGTCATGAAGGTATCTTCGAGAGCGTCAACTTTCGTTTTACTTGCATATCGATTAAGTATCTCTTCTTTTGTAAATGCGCACTTGGGAGGCTGAAAGTAATGGATCTAACATATAAATAAATGGACATGTAAATAAATATTTGTGTCAATATGTTACTCAATAATCTTTCTCGTCAGCAATATACATTTTATGTGTATTTCATTGGGTCATACGCAATAACAAGGGGGGAGGGGTGTAGTCACCAGTGACGCCACTTACACGAGCGCTGTGCGAGGGCCATACTCGGATCGCTTTCCGCACAGGGAAATCAAGATGTCCATCTCTCCCAGGTCAGGACAACACCGCCTTGTTCATTGCCCATGCTTGGGCGGGCTAGGGGGACAGGATTGACGCAGCGCTTGCACATTTCACCTACTATTACTGCTTTACTGTCTTCTACAACTGGAGGAGAACGGCCTCGCGCTGCCTCGAACTCTTTCACTGTAACAGAACCCAGCATCTACAGCGAACATGACTAGAAAATCGGAGCATGCTGGTCCAAGAGGGCAACAACGCTGAAGCGTGGCATGTAGTGAACACATCAAACTCAAAATTTCTCCACTGGATTAGTCTGAGGATCAAATCCCAGCTCAACTCTAAAATAGACCAACCAAGCATCCTACCCGCCGAGGACGGTACTGGTACCAAATTTGCCTAGGAGAATGAAAACACTGATTTGTAGATCGGCTGTCTCTGTGAGCCATTGTATAGGATACACCATTCCATAGGTTCTGACTAAAAGTGCTATGCGTGGCGCATCCTAGAGGGATGAATCAACTGCGAAGGTTCTGCACCTTATCCTCCAGAACTGTTTGACAAACTAGGTAATGCACGAGCATAGATACCAGGTGAATACAGCTACCTTCACGAATTGCATGTGGAAATGGAGAATTGAGAAGGCGCGATACAAAACAGATACGAATCGATTTTTTGGCATTGGCCGGGAATTTCGACTTGTCAGCTTATCTTCCACTATGGCCTAAGCTATCAGGTGTTTTCAGTCAACGCTTGAATTTGGCACAAAAAAAAATCTACTTCCATCTCTATATTATTAAAGGGAAGCGATTGCATTACAACTTTCTCAAAGTGAATCAACAAACTCACAAAAACACGATCTTTACATATTCCTTCCGTGGTACACATCTGTAGGAGGCATTCTATCCGATACCTGAAAGAGAATAATAATCAGTATTGCTCCTTGTTGTAACCTCGGCATGATGTCGACTAGGAAGAACGGACGGATGCTGCGTGTCAGTAGAAGTAGTAAGGATAAAAGAACTGGTATTTCGTTCTTACTAGTTCTACGACACACAGCGCAAGCTAAGCTCCGCACTGAGAGCCCTTCGGCCTCTGAAAAAGACGAGAAGGTCGAAACGTCAGGCCAATAAAAGATTGCATGTAACCTCCTACAGAAGTAGTTGAACTTAATAATCAGCGTTTTTATTCTTCAATAACTAATGTATGTTATGAAGGACTAACTGTGTGTGCGGAGCTATCTTTAGGGTGCGTATCATTTCTTCACACGGACGCCCCCCTCCCCCCCCCCTAGATCCAGAAGAGGATGTTTAAACTCCTCCTACCGCCTGCCAGCACTTTTCCCATTCCTGTTGATGCGTTTCTTCACACGTACTTTTATTTGTTGTTAAAACGGGCGGGGATATTCTGAAAGGTGCTCCTCTCTTACTGATGAGCATCGAATTCTAACTGTAAGATGGCGAAACGAAGCACCAGTCACGAAGGCAAGGCGCAGTGAGGCTCCGTGACCACGCCTCTATGATCTACGTGGACCGTGCACCTCAAAAAATTAATACCATTGAAATGAACTTTTTATCACGTAGCTTCATCATCCGTTACATCAAATCTGAAAGACACGAGCGCGAGCGAACACTTTCGGCATGAAACTATTGTAAACCACTTCACCGATGAGCTCAGAGTCCACAATACACCTAAACTGAGTTTTCATGTTCCAAAAGTAGATAGCACACTATCATTAATAAAGTGAAATAATACAGATACAAAGTTGATACCTCAATTATAAAACCAAAATACAACAGATAAAAGTGAACTACAAGCGCTATATGTGATCTGTAGGCAAAATATTCGGCACCGAGGCGATCCTACAATGATGTGCATTCCGGGCCCTGTTCCAATTCTTTGAAAAGTCGTGACCACATGACCACAGGTAGTTCCTCTCAACTTACAGTGGTACATTTTTCCATGGATATCGCTTACCGCCTGTACCGCGATTATACGTTGATCAGATAACTGTTTACGGCAGTTACTCCTTATAGCAATAGATTGTAGGGAATAGGTGCGATATTTAGAACAAAACGAAGAAATGAACATGTCAAAATTCGTGAAAATTCCTTATTTGAGGCAGTTGCTCACCCATTTTCGTCCACTAGGTGTATAATCTGCCCAGAGCTGGAAATAGCATTGCAGCTGGTCAAGAACGTTTGGTACTTTTGACCCTCTGAAATCAGCACCGCGTTATGAAAAGTTACAATACTGAGCTGCAAACCGTTTATCCCAAGTCGCTAAAAAGTTGAGCATTTCTTTACTCATACTCAACACTAATGTCTGGGATTTGCGCGGTGCGACCACGTTTTCAACAGATTATTGTTGCTTTCCCTAACTCAACAACTGGGGAGAGCGAGTTGACGTAACCAAACCCACCCCCCCCCCGGCAAACGATCGAAACTATATTTCGCCGCCGTGACTTGGGACTAAAGGCTTGTACCCTTTCATGTTGAAAAGAAAAGCATTTATGAAAAGTAACCTTTGACTGGAAAATTGCAGTTCCATTCATGGACGACGGCGTCTCCCACATGAAATACGGTACTGCTCTCCCATCGTGATGCCAGTCGTATTGTATGCGAGCAATACCTGAGAGCTTCCTATTGTACAGCGTTGGTTGAGGAGCATTGTTGTCGAAAACATTCTTCTCTGATGAGCTGCAGGCTACGCTGACCACATCTGTGGAGACATGTGTACACCTTTTATCCCTGAGACGGAGTAGGCGTGGCGTTCTAGCACGGCATAGGGTGGGTTTCTCACGATATTTTGTTCTGTGTTGCACAGAGACGTAATTACAACTTAGAAGGAAAATGTCTCATCAAAAGCTTAGCAGCTTCACCGCATCTCACGGACTTTGAGTATAATTTCCCCACATTACCCGATTTTCCCCATTCTTCTAGGCCGCATGCTTCGAAAGCTCCTGGTATACAATCGAGTGAAAATTCAATTGGGTAAAATCAAGAATGTAATGACCGAGTAAAAATACGCTTCTTGAACTATTTGTAGCTCGTCCCAACCTCTCCAAGCAAATGAGAAAACACTCGTACTTGTCTTGATTTTTTGCAGCTTGGTGTGCTATGGCATATGAGTTGTCGATGCATTTCACAGAATATAGTCGATCATTACTAGTAATAACAAGCGGATGAAATCCAATTTCAATATGCCCGGAAAAGACACGTGATCCATTCTGAAATGGCAAGCTCATCAGCAGAGCTTGAATCTATTTCATCAATAAAAATCATTTTCATCTAGGTAGATTCAGCAAAAAAAGGAGCATGCCACTAGTAACACTCGTAAGTAAGATCTTCAAGGTTGTTTATTATTAGATCAACAGGCAAACAAGGCGGCAACTGTATTCTGTGATCTACTTTTAGAAAAAACTTACATTTAAAAATAAAATATCCATACAATTCCGTAAATTAGCCTTGAACGTTGCATTCCTTTGTATGTTAGCGGAGTAATCTTGTATGCATGCTGGATTATACATTTTCCTCATAATCTGAACCAGATTACGAGATACCATCTCCTTTGTAGAAAGAGTGAACTCACAGAAAGTACTGTATTGTCTGCTACAGATGCTGGGGCGTACCAGGGATTTGGCGTGGTGCCAACCTCTGACAAACTGTTGTCGTTTGCTCTCTTCAACTAATTGTGGAATACGTGCGCTGGCTTCGCGCCCACCCTTCCTCTTAACACGCCCAAGGATCCGTACCAAACAAGGCTGCAGTCTTAATCCCATGAGAAAAAAAAACAGAAGAACTCACAGCGATCTTCCCTTGAAACGGAATATTGGTATCAAAGTTAAATAATAATGATTTATTTGAGCACATCAACCGCGGAAACCCTTAAATAACTCATTGATAGCTTGCTAATAACGAAAAGGCCACAATTAATCACACCCATTCAATAAGACGGCCACAACCTTTAGCGAAAAAGAACGTTTCCGCTGGATTGAATGGGTGTGAAGATAAGCATGAAAAACGTGTCCGTGATTGGTTGATTATCTGTGACCCACAGTGAGCCCTTTTGAAGGCACACACATGAGACACTACTCCAGTCGGAAAATGTTTGTATATAAATCGCTGCGGATGATGGGGCGTCTCAAGGAGACGGATTTGGCCCTTCGCCAGCCTATTTTTTCTCTTTTCCTCTTTCAAGACTGTATCGTATCGTTCGTATTAGTCGTTCTCAACAATTGTCACTTGAGTCTTGAACAACTGGAGGAGAACGGACTGGCGGCGCGGCATTTGGCCCGCTGACCCACTCCATTATCGCCAGCGAATAAGACTGAAAAACTGGAGTAAACTAAAATAAGCCAATCATCATTTTTGAATCCTCTTTCATGACCTTTACATCAAAAAAATAATCTTTTTGTGAAGCGCTCCACATTGGTCACAAAAGTGCCGAATCCTCTCCTGATTTTGACCGCTTATTAGAAATAGGGCTACTCGTAATGATTTGTTTCAGAAGAGCTTTTTTCGGAATCCTCGAAAGGGGAAGTCCATAAAAGTAAAACTTCCCACGAGGACATTAAAGGAGCGTTTCCCTTATTTACGTCTTGCTTAGACGTACTTTAGCTCTATGCGCTGAGAAATAAACATGGGCTTTTCACTCAGCAACCATTCGACATAAGATTGCTGGCCATACTAGCCATTCACACTTCCCCACAATCCAGATTTCCCAACGGCCGTTCGTCGTCCGACCACCATTCACCAACTAGACTGGCTTAAGGTCACGAGGAAGCCAAACAACTTGAAGAGATCCCAGGAAATTGATGAACGATCCCTCATTCACCCTAATCCAATTGACATAAAAAACGATGAAATATACCAGCACTTCAGGGAGCCTTTACAAGAAGGAATCATTCTGGGTTTGTTTCACTGCTATCGGTATCCACAATATAGCTCACAGACTTGGAGAAACACCAGAGGCTGAGAAATGGTTATCAAGTAATTGCGTGTGTTACCCCTGGTGTCCAGGCCGCAATTATTATAAGTTCTTATTTAGCTTTTGTTCTCTCTGCGCATCTTTAGCGCGCTACTTCTCACCGACTTCGGTTGATCACGGGATTCTGGTTTTTCATGCAGCTCTGCGGCTGCTTGTAACACACTGGTTCAAAGATCGGTCATTACACCGGGGTATGAACAAGTTCATACCGTCCATGCACTAAAAGACGCTATATATTACCCGACTCGCCTGGAGTTAGGAGAATGCAGTGAGATACCCGAGCCCGGGGGTTATTACGGGAGTCGAACTCGGCGCCCAAGTTGACCAGGCCTTCTCCCTTCCAGGAAGCGTAAGCTGGTACCAGATACACCTACGAGACTGACTTGTAGATCGTCTACCTTTTCGGCCTCAAGAAGACCGTGACTAACATAGGTAATCGACTTCAGCCTCCGGGCAGATGAAGCACCCATTCAGCTTACGATTCCTGGAAGGGAGAAGGCCTGGTCAACTTGGGTGCCATTCAGGGCACAGCATCGTTGCGGGTGTTGTATTCGGTGGTTGCGAGAGAGAGCATAAGGAATTTCTACGACGGAGGGGATAGAGAGGAGGATCCAGCACAGGAGGAGTTTGAAAGTCGTCCTAACAGCACTTTTTCAGCCAGGACACGTTCTAATGTTCCCTGCCTCTAGATATTCAACCTCAGCCGAAAAAGCCACAGTCTGGGGAAGAAAGGTGAGCTTGTAGAGCCTCATCTGAGAAGAAGTTGCATGGGGCGCAATAAACCTGGATTAATATTCCTAACTTTCTGAAGTCCTCTAAGATGGCGTCATCACAATCATTTGGGACCCCCCCCCCTATTCACTGTGGGTGAATTAGCGCACACTTGGCAAATTGGATCAAGCTTGTTGTAAAGACCTCACGTAGAAAACAATTCCTCCCGAAAAAGGATCTTTTTGATAATCCAGAATGTCCACTCGTGAAAAAAAAACATACACCCCCCCGCCTGAAAGTCCCCTTGTGAAAAAGCGTACATCCTCGATTAACTTGTCCTGCTAGCAAGTCAGCGAGTGATGAGGACACTTGTAATGTAACCCTCTTCTGCAGGGCACAGCACATCTCGGAGAGTCAACTGAACAGTCGCCACAGTTCTAGAGGCCGAGTTCGACATTCTTTATAAAAAATTTGAGCTGATTGCTCGGTTCTTCAAATTTCCTAAGACTCAAACACGCTTTCCTAACAGGTTGCCAGAGCCCTCCATGTGGCACTTCGGTTGCTTCGTCATCAAAGGAACATCTTGATAGTACGAAAAAAAACAGGACATGTTCTTGAAACTGTTTTTTATCGCTATTAGTACAAGAGCTTACGGTTTTGTCCCCATTCCGCGAATGGCGAGTTTAACAACAGGCTCTAGTCTGAGGAAGAAAGTTGGCCTACTAAATCAAAATTCCTCCGAGTTGAGACAGTTCTTTTCTCAAAGTGAAATAGTTGTTTCACAAATTGCAATAGTGAAAATTCAGTTGAAATGAAATGGAATTCCTTGGATTTCATTTTCCGCTAAAAGCTGATCACAAACTTCTAATTAGTAGGCCATCGAATTTCATTCACCCAAGGTTTGTCCCTCCTGTCAGATAATTGAAAAAAAGCTAAAGAGAGAGAGTTCTCAACATTATGATAAAGACATTTTTTGAGACTGTGACTCCCTTCCCCCCCCTACTTCCAACATCCTCGCTAGGACAGCACCACCAGCCGCTGGGATCTATGTAGAGCAGCACACTTGAAAGAGAAAAAAAGCATAAATCAAAAACTTCTCGATTGGCCAAATATCCCCCCACCTCTGGGTTGTCATGTGGACAATGCTCTAAGGTGCGAATTCGTTACCATTAATTAACAATAACTTTTAGATTACCAGTAATTCTATGAGATGAGACAACAGAAATTCACTTTACCAAGAATTTTAGCGTTATCGAAGTCCTCCGATTGATCTGATAACCGTAAAAATTTCAGAAAGAGAAGTAGAATAAGCATCGCATCCGGAAAAAGGCTGCCCTTGTTCTGAAACATTTACTTCTTCAAGAACGGTCTCACAGACGATGCGAAGGCACAGAGCTAAATTTCAGAAGTGAATGTCGGCGCTGTTTGGCTTGGAGGGGGCTTTCCGTTGTTTTATCCCGCTAGTCCATGTTACTCAAAGGAAATGTTTGTGTGCAAAGATGAGCCACCACTTGGGATATGGGATTCTGCAGGTTTTTATAAGGTAGCCTGTACAGCTTAGCTGAATACCATTTGATGCCCCCCCTCACCTCAAGCCAAGTCTGCGCCTGAGCGTTTTCCAAGACGAAATTATTAGGTTGTTCGGAAAGAATGCGCGTTTGAGTTTAAAAATTTTTTATTATAAAAACGAAATTAAACAAGATTAATTCAAAAGACGAAATAAAACAAGATAAATTCAAAAGATAATCTCCATTACTATCAATGACTTGTTGCCAACGTTTATGCAAAGAATGGATTCCTCTTTCGAAGAACTCGGCCGGCTGCGACTCAAAGTAGTTGGACACCCAGAGTTGGACTTCTTCGCGGTTTGTGAACTTTCTCTCGGCCAGGGAGTGCTGCATCGACCGGAACAGATGGTAATCGGATGGTGCCAGGTCTGGGCTGTATGGCGGATGAGGCAGGACTTCCCAGCCCAATTCCTCAATTTTTTCCAAAGTGATTTTCGCGACATGTGGAGAGCGTTGTCGTGGAGGAGTTTTGTAGACATCGTTTTGACACCTTGACCTTTTTTCTATTTCACATTTTTTCTTGAAAAAAACAAGGTAGACATAGACAAAAATATATCAAAAGATGCACAATAAAAATCTCTTTCTAATAGACAAAACTGTTTAAAAAATCTTCTATAGTAGGAGAGAAATAAATGGACAAATTCAACGCGCATTTCTTTCCTAAACAACCTAATAATTGCCAATTCAGTTCACTCAATGTTTATGGATATGGCCTGAATCAAATGCGTTATTAGTACTGATGGGTACGGTAGGAGAAAAAGCGAAAACGGAATCATGCAATTTAATAATGCAATAATGCAAAATTAATCGAAGAAGGAAAGTAAGAATTATAAGTAAGCGTGAGAAAAGCATGAATACTGACTGGATTTTCCTAAGAGGTCGTAGGACGTGGAGCGCTTTTCAGAACGCATTTTAATATGATGTCTATTGAACACGTTCAACCCAAACCAGGTCCATTTTTTTCAGGGAGCTCTGGAAATGCCGAAAAAGGAGTGAGAATTGCATTTTTGAAAAATTGATGCTTTACATAGCTTACGCACAGCATGGTAGTTTGAACTTTGCCTACCTACAGACAGAACTCAGAGCTCAGACCCATAGCTATTCAAAGGAAATAAACGTTGCTTGATTGTCTATGTTTATGCATCTACATCAGAAAAACCCGATTTTAAAAAGGGCCTCATGTTCGTAGTGACGGCCCTCGTATGAGTTCTCTTCAAGAACTTCTTTGGTTTTCTTTTACTCCAGTACCTCAGCAAAAAAAAACTCAAGCACTTAGTCGTGTCATAACAAACCTTACTTTAAAAATAACATCACGCCTAGAAAATTGGGAGCAGTTCGCCCATGAGGAGGCATTTTTCGATAGTTTCGATGCTTCTCATTAGTAGAGAGCCGGCAAGTAGAGATCTGTGAATTCTTGTGATGTCATGATGTGATTCCAGTCAAAGTTTTTAGAGTAGAAACTACCTACTACTCGACTCTTGCAAAAGATACCTGGTAGTTCTGTGATGCAGTGAAGACGGCAATGGGAAGCAGCGTAAGTGCAAAATGCCCCCCCCCCCAGCCGAATTGCGCCGATATAGTTAAGAAGGCTAATTAAAGAACGAAATTATCACTAGAGGAGCACATAAAGTAATCTGAACAAGTAACGAAAGCCTGCTTTCACGTTATTGTCCACCAGATCAGATACGAAACAATCTACCATAATGAGTCATAAAACATGTTCAGTGAATGCGACTTCTGGTTATTTGCTGATTCACTATGATCACTGCCTTCAGAGAGTTAATCAAAGCTGGTTACATATCAAGTACGAACTATGCAGTAATAGCAAGTTCATCAGAAAGGTATTCCAGGAATTTTACAAAGAAAAACCAGAAAGAAGGAAGAAGTAGTTCTCGCAAGAACTTGAGCTGCCTTCATGACAACAATAGTTTTACTGTTCTGTATCGGTACAGCTGATAGACTCAAACCCCACCTGGCTGTATTTCTCGTGTTGAGGAAGCTATGTATCAATTGGGACATTCTGGTTTTTGGGTGATGTCCTTGCATAATTTTGTCCTACCCGACGGGTTTTTGCGTTTTTTTTATTTTGCTTAATTGTATGCAATTGTAGCTAATCAGTTGATACAATAGACAGGGTACTTCCTGCCGCGGGGACAATTTTTGGGACCTCCCTTCCCAAATTTCTGCTCTGGTGTAGCCCTCTCTTCCGCCATCCTACCTCTTATGGAAAAGTGGTATGAAGTAGGGAAAAGTGTAGGAATTTTACTAACATTTCCCTACTTCTAACCTCGTTTTCCCTTTTTTCTAAAATCGTTTCCGCTTATTCTTCCCAGAAAACTGCCTTCCGTTGAATGGGGAGTGGAGCAAAGTCACTACTCAACAACTACTACTTTGAACTTCCGAAAGTGGTAGTTGTAGAACTTTTGCGGTGCCGCCAACTACGACGGGGGGATAGGGCACCTTACAGGCACTACCGAAGCCGCATAAGTAAATAAATAAATTATAAGATAAATAAATAAAAAAATAACAATGGTTGTCAGAACCTATAAACTGAAGTTCAGCCTGTGATCTACTTATACACACTAGACAAGTCTGAGTAGGCCAATTTTCCTTCACTTTTGAAGGGCTCTCCTCCAATAATAGAAGGTTAAGTTTTCAGGCGATTCCCTGGACCACTTGAAGCTTGAGAAAAATGCGATCTGGATTTCAAACAACGCTGAGTGGTTTCAAGAGAATTCAAGGACTCATAGGAAGCGGAAGCCGGTAAAAAAGTAGTGTTGCAAAAGGGGGGTCAAAAACTGCTCTCTGTTAGGAAGTTGTCGCAGATGAACCATAGTGCAAGTAGAGTAAGGGAAATCATGTCATTGTGAGCCCTCCGATCTTTTTGTTCGAATCCACTAGTTTGGGCAAAACCTAGATTACCTAGAGGTCTTCTAAACCCTTGATCTCGCCATGGGCCTAAAAATTTTCTGGTGAAGATTGTCATTACTTCTTTGTATGTAGCTGCCCGCTGCATTGGAATAGGAACAGTAGAAAATAGGAAACATGAATTATAGTAAGAACATCAGCGGCACTACAAATAATAAGTAAATAAATTACAATAATAAATGTATAAAAGGCATTCAAAGAAGCAGGTATGTAATAGTAAACAAGGAAAATAATGGGTTAATGCAGTGAATGAAACTGTAATAGTAAAGAATGGAAAACACAGTAGTACATACTCCGTAGTTACTATTATTCAGATATATTTGACAAGGTCTCGGGAAGGGTAATACGCGTCTTTGGAAAGATGAAATGGAGCAGTCTATGAGTGAATAACTGTGAAACTGCAAAACATTGTTTTGGGACAGAAAAAAAATATAAAAGTAGAAGCAAAAAAGTTTCGGCAATGTTCCTAAGAACAGGCTAAAGGAGTGCTAATGGAAATATACAGGCAGAAATGAGTTGAAACGCCGTTGAGCAGAAGTAATTAAGAAGTTCCAAGTGTGACAGGCGATATGGAAAAAGGAGAACACCAACAAAAAACGTTTTTTCAAGGAGGAGGAAGACATAAGGCCCTACGAAAATCCAATTGCTATAAATCTGCTCAATTACGTCAGAATGTCCGTGCAGCGAAGTGGGAGGTATCGAAGGAAATTCGACAGAAAATCGGGTTGGCAATTAGCTGTCGACGCTCAAGTGTGGCGATCCGAGCTTGTCCACCCACTGCTAGGGCAAGGTAACGATTGGTGTTCACCTGTTTCTACGGGTTTAATCCAGTCGAGCTAGAGACAAGGAGCATCATCGTCGAGGACTACTCCACAAGGGGTTGGATTTGGTCGGGTAGTGGATTTTTCATAGCTGTTTTGCGCTAGGTGTTCCCTTTCCGATATATGTCGCTTGCTCGAACTAGTGGAAAGAAAAACGGTATTTGAAAAGACTTTCCGAGGAAAGACGTACTATCAAGGAGAAAAGGATTCATTTCCATGGAATGAACAAGTAAAGCTTCAAAAGCAGCCGGTACTGAGTAGTTAAACTATAGCTGTCATCAGAGCAGCTTGAGATTCTGCAGGAACTACTTCTTCCATTCATATCCGTCGAAGCGATTAAATGCATCCGGAGCCTATACAATGAGCTGCAAGATCTAGCCAACGTTTACGTCAACCTTTTTATACTCTCCGTTACTCTGGTAGCGATTCAACTGACAGATTGTCCACCTGTCAGGCCTTTAACGTGGAATGGTCTAACGGATACTCTAATTATGTGTGCTATAGACTAACTGTCTCACTGCAGCTTAAAGACAGTCCTGGGACCAAGTTATCCGTAAAACACCTACGTGCTTTTAGTAGCTAGGTCCGCACTCGCAGAAGTTGTTCCACTTTTCTGCTACAAAGGGGTGTAGGACATTTGTCAAGACTTTTTCGCAATCGTCTCTCATAATGGCAGAGTCGCCTGCGGTGTGAATTACTTGCTCACTACCTCATGACCTCTCATTGACTACGCTGTTCTATCGGGTGAGCACTTTCAGCTTAAGCGGGTACGGTAAGATCCCGTAGAAATACTACAGAGATCACCTAGCACCTTTTGAGGCCTGCCTGCGGCATGACATCACCTGATTGCTGCGCTAAATGTTGGCCACTCACTGACTCCTCAACGAAACGAAATTTGGAATTCATATAGTAGTAGTAACTGATACGTAAAGATTAATTAATAAGTCTCAATTCCGTAAGTGTTAAAGTAATTATAAATATATTTACGTTGAAAGAACATTGTCAAAATCTTTAGTACCCACACATC